CTATGATGATTTTTGTTACATGTCTCTCATACCATATTTTATTTATATCTCGATGTATTAAAAACTTTGGTATTTGAATTTCCAGTACTATAAATTGAAAATATTGAGTTTTAGCTGACCGGTACTACTCTTTCCTTTATCTTATGTACAGTTTATAATCATGATTTTTTTGCTATACTATGTTCAATTGTCTCCAATCAATATTCTTTTATCTTGTATTTTTTTGTGCAAATAATGTTAAATATTAGGTATTTTTATGATCAATGTCTATCCCTTTTAAAACTTTCTATTAACATAGACCACGTTAGTTTCAGGCGTATCATTTGTTGTTAGTTACCAACAAAAGGATCTTTATATGCTCAGTCTCGTGTGTGTGTGTGTGTGTCATATTCATGGATATTAGTCTTGATAGCTAACCATTTTAGAATTTAAATGGACGACGATATGGGAATGTTACGGTGCAATAGAGCAAATACTTGGACTTGAGTGGCTAAAAAATTTAATCGGAGACAGGCATATGTACCTCCAACATTGTTTTGAGTCTAGGAATCATGATGCAATGTTTATAACGGGTGGTACGGTAACTAAGAATTTAAGCTTATATTAAGAGTTCTAAAAATTTATAATTTCTAAATTTAAACTGCAAATTAAATTGTTGTGATTACAGGTAGATTGGATTGTCTATGACACTAGATGGTTGGCATTCTTGCGTACAAATGGAGTTGAGTTACAATAGGAAATTATTCATGTACAAGTTCGCATAAATGCCATGTATATTTATTTATTTATTATTATTATTATTATTTTACGTATAATTGAAATTTTTATTATACAATTATGTTATGATATAGAGAACAAATAATTTTGAAACACGTTACATTTAACTTGGGATGTATTCTATCCATATTAATGTGTTCTAGTGAAGATCATTCATTCTTGGTTTATGTTGGGAATTTAATGAATAATTACAATTTCACACACTTCAGTTTTAATTTGGGATGTATGTTTTCTATTAAGATTGATTTAATTTGTCTTCTTAAAATGTAATCAAATGTGATTTTTATTTGGGATGTGTGTTTTATCTATGAAGACTGTAAACCGTGTTCAAGTGAAATAAGGGGTGATTCTTTCTACAATTTTGTTGGGATTTATTGTATAATATTTGATTGTCACATATTACATTTAATTTGGGATGTATATATCTCCATGATATTCTTGTGTTGATGTGAAATAAAAGATGATTCATTTTAGGTTATCATTGGGATTATATTAACTATAATTTGACACATATTATATATATATATATATATATATATATATATATATATATTATGGAATACATATTTTTCATGATGAATAATTAAATGTGTTCAAATTAAAAAATCAAAGATGATTTTTTGAAGGAAAAATAAATAGTGATTTAGTTACAATTATTCATGGAATTTATTGTATGACCATTAATTGACACAAATTACATTTATTGGAAGGTTATATATAATTTAGGCACGAAAGTAATTAAATAAAGGTCGTGATAATTTGTACAAATGTATTTGCATAAGTTTATGAGTTAAAAGTTATGTTTGAAATATATTATTCTGCCCCTCAACATTTTTTTTTTTTCCTAAATGCCTCTCAAAAATTGGAAACACTATAGATAAGAATTTAATTAAATTAGAAGTAGCGAGGATTCAGACACTCTCTTCAATACAAATATATTATGATGTTATATATAACTTAGGCCCGAAAGTACTTAAATAAATGTCGTGATTATTTTGTATAAATGTATAAGCAAAAATCTATGAGTTAAAAGTTATTTATGAAATATATAATTTTACCCCTCAAAATTAGAAACAATATAGATAATACTTTAATTAAATTAGAAGTACACACTCTCTTCAATACGAATATATTGTGATGTTATATATAACTTATACATGAAAGTAATTTAATAAAGGTCATGATGATTTATACAAATGTATTTGCATAAGCTTATGAGTTAAAAATTATATTTGAAATATATTCTTTTGCTCCAAAATAATTGGTAACAAAATTTTAATTAAATTAGAAGTAGTGTGGATTTAGACACTCTCTTCAATACAAATATATTGTGATGTTATATATAACTTAGGCCCGAAAATAATTAAATAAAGGTCATAATGATTTGTATAAATGTATTTGCATAAACCTACGAGTTAAAAGTTATATTTGAAATACATAATTTTACCCCTTAAAAATTAGAAACACTATAGATAATACTTTAATTAAATTAGAATCAAACACGCTCTTCAATATGAATATATTGTAATGTTATATATAACTTAGACATGAAAGTAATTAAATAAAAGTAGTGATGGTTTGTACAAATGTATTTACATAAGTTTATGAGTTAAAAGTTATATGTGAAATATATTCTTTTGCCTCTAAAAAATTGAAAACACTATAAATAGGACTTTAATTAAATCAGAAGTAGTGAATTCATACATTCTCTTCAGTATGAATATATTATGATGATATATATAACTTATACACAAAAGTAGCTAAGTTTTGAAAATGGGTAAGTACAACCCTAGGGGTAAAATGGTCTTTTCAAAATAGAAGTGGGTACTACTGTGCACACCATTGGAAAGACAACGAAAAATTAACAAAGTTAGACTCAAGAATCACTTGATTCGGAATCTAGATGAAGAAGATATGAAATCTCGAAGTTTTACAAAAAAATTAACAAAACTGTGAGAACAGGGATGTCAATACAACCAAGCTAACCTAAACAAATGTACGAAATTGTTTGGCATGTACAAATGTATTTGCATAAGAAGATTCAGAGTCTCGAATTCGGCGATCGATCGCCGATTACATAAAAGGACGCTAATACAACCAAACCAACCTAGGAATGTTGTGCATCACAAAACAAGGTCTCCTTACCAGAAAAATATCCTAAACAATTAGGGGGAGTAAACAAGTTACTCGTAAGAAATAAGTATATGTATACCCTATAGTCTCATTGGTCTTTGCATGAATAATATAAACCGTACTCAATGGATCATGCTTCCTAACGTCTATATTTCAAGAGTGAGCTATGATTGGAATACATTGAAAGCAATCCACAATACATATAAAAATCAAATACAATGGGATAATCTATGATATACAACAAGTTATAACCCTAAGTTATATCAACTTGTAAAATAAATACGAAATCATACCAAGTGGAAAAATGGGTGACTCATATTCAACAACTTTAACCCTCTATAACTTTAGGGATGATGACTTCCAAATTCCACCGCTTAGGAGCCGTAGAAAAAAGTAAGTGAACTTCCTTATCGGGAAGTATGGTGTAGTACGTTTTGTTTTATGTGGTTCACAATTTATAATGTATGCAATGGTAATATAACTTTAGAATGAAACTACTTATATAAATATCGGGAGTACATATATATTTGCAAAATAACATAACTTAAAAGGTGTATTTGGATTCTATTACTTTGGGCTTCAAAATTGACTTACAAATTTATTGGGATGTTTCCTATAACTTTAGAATGAAAATATGTACATAACTATTAGGATAGTTTGTACATATGTATTTGCATATGCTTATAACTTAAAAAGTGTATTTGGATTGTATTACTTTGGCCCTTACAAAATTAGAAATACTTTCGACAACACGTCAATTATGTCTGAAGTAGTATAGATGGAAGTACTCTAGTACTTACGAATATATTAGAATGTTCTTTATACCTTTATAATGAAACTATCTATATAAATATTGGGATGACTAGTACATATGTATTTGCGAAATAACATAACTTAAAAGGTGTATTTGGATTCTATTACTTTGGGCCTTCAAAATTGACTTACGAATTTATTGGGATGTTCCCAATAACTTTAGAATGAAAATATGTTCATAACTATTGGGTAGTTTGTATATATGTATTTGCATAAGATTATAACTTAAAAAGTTTATTTGTATTATATTACTTTAGCCTGAAAAAATTAGAAATACTTTAGACAACACGTCAATTATGTCTGAAGTAGTGTGGATGTAAATAATCTGCTACTTACGAAGGGCTAAAGTAAAAGAATCCAAAGACACCTTTTAAGTTATAAGCTTTTGCAAAGGTACTTACAAATTTATCGGGATGTTCTCTATAACTTTGAAACGAAAGTTTGTCCAAAAATATTGGAACTAGTATTATGTGTGAAGTAGTGTGAATAAAAGTACTCTGGTACTTACGAATTTATTGGGTTGTTCTCTATAAATTTATAACGAAACGATTACATAGATATTGGGATGATTTGTACATATGTATTTGCATAATCGTATAACTTAAAAGGTGTATTTGGATTGTATTACTTTGGTCCTATAAAAATTGGAAATACTTTAGACAACACGTGAATTATGTATAAAGTAGTGTGGATGCAACTACTCTGGTACTTACGAATTTCTTGGGATGTTCTTTATAATTTTGGAATGAAACTTTGTACAAATGTATTAGGATGATTGGTACATATGTATTTGCAAAAGCAAATAACTTGAGGTGTATTTGGATTCTATTACTTTGGCACTGCAAAAAGTTAGTTATGAATTTATTGGGATGATATGGTCAAACTTTAAACCACACATAGCATACCATATCATGTTGTTCATAGTCATCTTTTTGACAGCATGCTCTGCATGTCGTCAAAAGCGATTTTTTTTTTTTATAATATCATTTTCTCTATAATGGAAACAACAATGTCTGTCTTGCACCTGTGTTCAATGGTTGAATATAATAAATTATACATGTCTCCACATGTCTCCAATGTGAAAAAAGAATCCACACATTATGTCACATCACCATATATAAAAACATAATATATATAACAAAAACTGATCCTACAATCACACTCTGCCAAAAAAAAAAACAAAAAAAAAAAAAAAACAAAAAAAAAAAATTGGAAGAAAAAAAAAATCATTTTCTCTATAATGAAAACAACAATGTCTGTCTTGCACGTGTGTTCAATGGTTCAATATCACAAATTATACATGTCTCCAATGTGAAAAAAGAATCCTCACATTATGTTACATTACCATATATAAGAACATAACATATATGGCAAAAATTGATCCTACAATCACACTCTGCCAAAAAAAAAAAAAAAAAAAAAAAAATGGAAGAAAGAAGACAAGTTATTACATTAAATTGTCACATTAATGCCTTGAAGAAGTAGGCGAAAGAGAGGAAGATGAAAATGGGGACAAAGGTTCAAACTCTTATACATAAAAAAATATAATTATATGCATTTATAAATGTATAAATCAACACATTTATATTTAATATAAAACCATTACCTTTGAAACTAAGTTCTTCTAACCAACTTGGCGGGCCATGAAACTATTCTCCCTTAGCTTGTAGAAGGTACAAGTAATATTTGCACGCCCTATATAAGGTCACATCAGTATCAAATACAACCTTGACCCAGATTTTCCAACATTCGGTTCTAATAGGAATACCATCCACACATGATTTTTTGTTCGTAGAATCGATAACTTCAATAACAACTACATTTGGTTCACTCCAATGTAATAATTCACATTTTGATCCTTCTAAATTTTCTATTGGTTGAATATTAGGAGTGACTTGAGGTGAAGCTCTTGCATTTCCATACTATAAATCAGAAAACAAATGAGAGAACTATAAGTGTAGGAAAAATAAATGAGTCAATGGAAGTAAAATTACTTTTTGGAACATTTCTTCTAGACTGGGGCATTCCAGAATTTCAATGACACATCAATCTGTTTAAGTTATAATGTATAAGATGTCTATTTGAATTCATGTCGATCATTCTATTATCATCCTACAATTAATGAGGACCCAGATCTATTTCAAAATTCTAAATAGTCTACATGTATAAAAGGTCTAGAGACCAATTTGTCTCCCTATTACCATTGAAAAATTTCAAATAATTAGTGATGACCTAGATCCATATCAAGCATAATCTTTGGAGACTATAATTGTGTTTAAAAAATGCGGGTTGGTTATCATTTGGCAATGGAATTGTAGGAATCGGCTAAACTTAAAACATTTTTTGTTTGAACAAATTTCCTATTGTTACTGCTTTGTTACTCTAAACAAAAATTTATGAATGATGAAGTATTATTCAGTTTAATAACACCTCTCAATCTTAGTATAATAGAAGAATAAGCAACCAAAACAAACTATTCATTTTACTGTGTAAAGTAATGCAAGGTAGTAGTGCTCACAGAGGGATAGGATAGAAAGCGGTGATGATAAAAGAGAGTAGAGTAGAAAAAAAAAAAAAAAAATTGTGGTTCAGTAGTAATGCTCAGGAAAATTAAAAGAAAGAATATAATAATCATGAACATACGTCATATATGTGACTATCACATTGGAAAAATAAAAAAAAAAATGAATAAATATTACACTAGTAAAGGGTCAATACCTTTAGAAGAGTCCATATACTTCAGCATGGAAAGTCATAGTGATGTTTGATATATTAACTCCTGTACCTTCCTTTGATTCCTATACAAAAGAGTTTGAGCTCTTAACCTATTAAATTTTGGATTTCATATACCAAAAAAAAAAAAAATTTATATAGTTATAAAATACATTAGTAACATGTTATTTCCACTGTGAAAGAGATATGGAACATAGAAAATTTCAATGTAGAAAATGAAACAAAGGTATATAGGAAATATTTATTCTAAACAATCTAAATAAAAATCGACAAGTAAATGAGACATGTTGGAAGATGAGAACCAAACCTATCACGCCCCAAGACCATAGGATGCGATTAATAAGGTTAAAAGCAAAAATTGGAATAGCAGTGCTCAACTAAAGAAAAATTTTGCTCAGTGGTTATACAAAAAATGATAGAAAATTCAATTTTTATAGGAACGAGGAAAACTAAATTCTTTAGAAGCTAGACTTAGAGTAAAATGTGACTGAGCCATTCCCGGATACTGGAAATACACCAATGAAAATAGTTTTTAGAAGGAAGAAAGTTTTCATAGCTTGTACTGAAATCCCACCAAGTGTCGAACTTTGGCTTGCTTGGTCGTTTATGGAGCCGATAAAGCGACCTTTGTTTCTAGAAATTAGAAACAAGAACTAACAAAATTGGAAAGTTTCATAATTTAACGATGTTAGGAAGTTAGTCAAATCATTTTCTTAAAATCAGTCCCCAAACTGTGATAAAAAAAACTGGGCAGCAGATAATCAATGATTTTTATAGAAATATCCACCTGTTCAAAAATTATCAAATTTTACAGGGAGACTTTAGGCAGAGAAGGGAATGTATGGTAAAAATTTTGTTTCCAAGCAAGAACTAAATAAATTTTAAAATAGAATTTTAGAAAACTCCAACGGTTGCAAGAGTTAAAGAATTTCCTCCAACTGACCATAGATGATAACTTACCCCAAAATTGAGATAATGAAAGTTCCTTAACAACAAAAGGAGTATATAGCTAACAAGCTAGAACATATTTAACGCAAATCAATGGGAGGAACAATTATAAAAGATACTATCTTTTTAAATCATTTATTTACAATATCTCCTCATAGGTTTATTGACATATCTAAGATCTTAAATTGGAAGTTTAAAACTACAAACATGTTAAGTTATTTATAATTACTAATCATAATTCTCGATTACCATTACAAATTGTATACAACATTACCTTACAGGAATATAATGAAAAAATTATTCTAAGATCTTAGATTGGAAGTTTAAAACTATAACCATGTTAACTTATTTATAATTACCGATCATAATTGTCAACAACCATTACGAATTGGAAAGAACCCTGTAAATTATTATGATTCAATAATATTAAACATAATTTAATACGATTCAATAATATTAAATCTCTGAGTTTGGAAAGGGATGGAGAGAACATTTCAAAAGAACCCTTTAAGAACCTCTTCTCAAACCTTTGGAAAGAACTTGTAAATTACCAAACAAAACTAATGAAATAGAATTTAATACGATTCAATCATATTAAACCTCTGAGTTTGGAAAGAGATGGAGAGAACCTTTGGAGAGAACCCTGTAAGAAAACCTTTGGAAAGAACCCTGTAAATTTGGAAAGAAGAAAAGTTAGGAAAGGGATGGAGAGCTCTGACTTTCTTTGAAGGAAATATATATATTTTCTATATTTTGGGAGAGAAGAAGAAAGAAGAATGACGTTGAAATTTGGGATGTTCAAATTGAATTTGCAAATTGGTGTTGAAATTGAACAGTGAAGGACTCTGATTTCGTATATATGTGTATATATATATATTTAATATTGTATATTTTCATAATACCTATTTTTACTAGAACACTATTTTTTTATTTTTTACTACTGCTACAGTATGAACAGACGGGAATCGATCTCCTGTTTGACAGGAGAGGATTTCAGTCCAAATAGATGGGTATGTAACACTACCTAACAGATTGAGTTATTGGATAAATGGGCAAGCAACCACTTGTTTCAGTTGGTATTAAAGCCAGACCCAATCCTTGATCCGGTGTCACGCCAAGCGCCCGACCCGGAGGGCGTCTGGGTATTCACCCCAGATAGGCAGTGTGGTCCGACTATAACAAGGGCGTTGCATGGGTTTGGGTAGGGGAAAATGTAATAAAGGTCATTTGTCCTACATCGGATCCAGATAGGAAAGTGATTGGGTATAAATGGATGGGTATGCAGCACTACTCAACAGTTTGAACTTTTGGGTAAATAGGCAAAACGATCACTCATTTCAATTAGTTAGTAGAATGTCCAACTCTCCGAACGAGTGTGCCATGTTTTAAGTCCCTCTAATTTACCGTGTGCCATGTTTAAGTCCCCCCTCCCCTCGTTTACCGGGATATATAATATAAAATAAAAAAGAGGGAAGAGCATAGCAAAATAACGTCCCATAAGAGTCATCCATTTTGAGAGTACTCCTACCAAGTTGCAAACAACCTTTTTCTTTGTTGGGTCTTGGCTTCACTCATCTCTTTTCATACTGCAAAATGGTTTTTTAATAAAAAATAAGGTAGAGCAACGAACTCACTATCACTAGAATAAGTATTTACTATTACTCAAAAAAGAAAACAAAAGATGAAAAAGTACTCACAAACTAACAGAGTTAAAAAAAAAAAAAAAAAAAAAAAAAAAAAAAAAAAAAGACTAATCTTAATTATCAAGGGAAAGTGAAAAGAAGAAACTAAGAATATCCGAATGAGAGGGAAAAAGCACAACAATCACAGAAAAGAAAAAGGAAGAAACCGGGAATGTCCCACTAAGAGGAAAAAAACACAATGTATTAATTTGAGTTCACACACTTGTAGAGGCACCATTGAAAGCAACTCTTTAAGAACATATTAGAAGGAAAATGAATTTTTGGACCAAACTTTATATGTAATGTGAAAAAAAAGACTTGTTCTTATTTATGGGGGTAAACCATAAATAAGGCAGAAGAGTTGCAATGAATTATGTTTTTAATTGATTATTCATACGAAATACAAACAAGTGGAGGTTTTCACTCTCTTATTTCTTGTATAGTTGACCAATTAAAGCAATTACTCGATGTAAAAATCATTTTCACCGTTAAATAGTATGATTTCTTCCTTCTAAGATAGGAGAACTTTCTAAAAAAAACTTAATCAAATATACCTACAGAAAAAGAATTAATTGCAACTTGTTATTGCCCCCACCCACCAGTCACCACTACACGACCTAAATGACTTAAGGTTGACCTGATGTCAACTTTATTGTTTCTAAAATCTCAACCAAAGAAGCAAAACAGAGCTCATACTTGCTTATCCTTAAGAAAAATAATGGCAGAGTTTGTTGTTTCCTTCGCTTTGGAAAAGCTTCAGAGCTTGGCAAGTGAAGAAACAAGCTTGTTACATGGAGTAGGCGTTCAAGTTGAGCAAGATTGTTAGATTCCGCGTGGCTGAAAGGAAATTCGAAACTCTACAACTTCGTATTTTATAAAAATTTCATGGAAAGGAAGTTTACTATGTCAAAACTGGGATGTAAGACGACACGAATTTTAGAGTCTGAGTTTGGAAGATTTCCTATTTCCTATTCTATTTTGGGGTGGTTTCAAGGGCTATAAAAATAGGATTTTATTCACTACTAGAGGAGAAGAAGAGGGGCATTGATAGTTTAATGATCTTGAATTTTTCTATTTTCAATTTTCTGCGATTCATTGATAGTTTAATGGACACCATGGGGTGTTCCGGGTGTGTTTGAGAGTTGGTTGGGGTATTTTCGTGAGTTCAGGACTCTTGGAAATGTATTGGTTGCTATTTTGGCATCTTTCCATTTTTTGGGCTGGGAGATTCTAGGTGGGACCCATTATTGGATTTGTTGAGCACGAGGATTTTAATTCGGGTTTATTGCAATTCATCCATTTTTAATTGATGCATTTTTATGTGGTAGCATGTTTAATTTAGTGGTTGTAATTTGATTTGTGTATATATATAAGTTAATGTTAATGAAGATATTTTCTTAAGGCATGGGACCCACCATTATGATATATCATTGTATATGGCCTAAAGTCCATTAGCAGACTCTCATTTTTCTCATTCTTCATGCAACCTCTTTCTCTCTCCTACATGAAACCCATTTTTCTCTCACTACATCACAAATTATAAAGCTTGATTTCTTAATCTTCCGTTTGGAATTTGATTTTGCCACTTAAGGCAAAGTTAATGAGCATATCGAGATCTTCGTTTTGATCTAAGCAAAGTGCTATTGGGCCATTATTTGGGATTTCAAATTCTTGGGCTGATTTGGGACTTTTTCTTTAAATTGAGGTAGGGGTGTTCCAATCTACAATCTCTTTGATTTTTGTGATTCATTCCCCTATAATTGAAGTATGATATTTTTAGTTATGATTATTTCTTAAAAAATTGTCATGATGTTATATATATGAATTTTATCTCCATGTGACTTTCATGTTTAAGTGATACGTGTGTGTATTAGTTGTTGATTTGATATGACAAGCATGCTTAAGTGATTGAGTTAATGTTTTAAATGCTTAGTAGCTGAAAATTCGTGAATAATAAGCATGCTATAATTTTGTGAGAATTTTCCTTAATTGGTATGGAATATTGTTAAGGTTAAATTGTATGAGATTATGGCAATTTGAGAAGCATGAAGCATTCATGCATTCCATTGGGAAGGAAAAGGAAAAAATGTTTGAAAAGCAAATGAAAATTATTTTTAGGAAAATGTTTTGAAATGGTTTACGAAAACTCGAGCGCCTAGGAGTTGCCTAGTGGTCCGTGGCATTAATATGGTCTAGAGAGGTTAGGGAGAGACCCTAGCGAGGTTGAGCTACCTAGGCCCGCGATGCCTTGAAGTTACTATGTGGTTAGGGATAGCTAGCCAATCCTTGTCTCGTGATGCCACGGAGTTGCCATGGGTTGGACTGCACTAACAATTTAAAAAGGTGAAACAGAATTGTTTCGAAAATAGGGAGCGACATTGGCATGATATTGCATCTCATTGCATACATTCTGTAATTGTGGTCGGATAGCAGGT